AACATTATTTCATTTTAGTATTCCATGGAAGCATAGTATGAGAACTATTTTCTAGAAGAAATACTCCTTACCACTTCAGAAGGTTTTTGTTTATTTTGTTTTTTGACAGAAGCAAGGCTGATTCCTTTTCCTTCTGAATAAAAACTTGGTTCAGGTCCCACCAGCCTCTAGGAGATTTTAATGGTATCTGCTCTCTTCAGTAATACTTCTCTATACCAATTGTTCTGATCTTGAGAAGCAGATTTTCTGTCATAAAGCTCTCTTCTGGACTCCAAAATCAAGTCATTTTCCCTGTCTAGATTATTTCCTCATAATTATATTTAATCATAAAGTAAAATGTAGTGGATGAGCCATACTTCAAGAAATACTTGGGTTAAAAAGTCCTCTTTGACTGAACCTTATCAGTCCTTGCCCTTCACCATCATTTTAAGAAGCCTATTTATACACTCAAACATGAGTATGATTTCCACGAAGGGAATAGAGAACTGCTTCAGTGTTACCTTAGCTAGAGCCTCTTTTCTTATGTTCTGTTTATTTGTTAAAGCAGAGGGGAAAAAAGAATTGGCAAAGTGGTCAGGAATATGGTATCTGGAGTCAGCAAAGATTAAAAGTCCCATTGTATAACTTAGAAGCCTATGATTCTGGGCAAATATTATCTCTCTGCATCTCAGTCTTCTGTAGTCATCATACTGAAGGGATACCTTCAGAATTATAGGGCTATTCTGAATATTAAATTATGCAATATAAATATTCAACATGACATCTGGCAAACAGCAAGTTCTTACTCAATGTCATTCATTATGATTATGACAAATATTTATTCACTTGACAGTATTAATTGAGTAACCACATGTTCTATGATAGGGATAAAATGATGAGGAAAACAGAAATAACCTGTCCACTGGGTAATTATTGTTAAAAACAAACAGCAAAAGCCACACAGGTTTACAAGCTACAAAAAGAAATTGAGGAAAAAGTAGAGAGCAGTTACTCTGAAAACATAAAGCCAAGAAATAAATAAATAAATAATTTTTTTTAACGAATTTGGGGAATCAAAGAATGCCTCTCTGAGAAAGGTACAGAGTTTTATTCAAGACATGTCAATGATGAATAGGCAGGAACTCAGGAAAGTGTAGGCTGAGGGAGGGAGTCACAATACAAGGAGAGGAAATCAGTTTGGGGAGTCCAAAGGTAGCGGGAAAATGAGCAGAAGGACACTGAGTCTGGAAGGCACAGGGAGAGCGAGAGGCTGGTGGGTGAAGGGCCAAGAGGGCAGACAAGACACAGATCACTCAAGGCCTCTCTGTCTATAGTATGTAGTGTGAATTGTGATCAGAGACTGGTGGAAATGGTTTGGGGAAAAAAAGGGAGAAGAGCCAGGGATGTGGCAAAAAAGATTTCAGATTTTTATTTTATAATTTCATTAACTCCAGCATGGAGACTGGATCACAGGAGGCAGATGATGCCGATGGCCACTGGAGACTTTGAGTTAAAAGAGGACAGTATCTCAGGATTAGACAGTGGAGATGGAGAGATGTGGGACAGATATGGGGGTTATCTGTAAAGTTCGTAAAAGTGACAGGGCTTGATAGATTATTGAAAATTATGGGAAAGATACTGGCAAGTGTGATCCTGGATTTCTGGCTTGCACAATCTAATGCACAGGAAGCTATACCTTGAGACAGATAAGGAAACTGAGCAAGACAATGGGGATTTTGTGCCCAATTTTGTTCATATTGTATTTGTCTCTGTAATGTCCATTAGAGATTAACTAAAAAGGTGGATATGTGAGACCAGAGGTCAGGAGGAAGTCTCAGTTTTGAGATGCAGAAATAGAAATAAAGTTTAAGGATGGTAACTGAAACCATGGAATCAGATGACTACGTGAGAATTCAGAAAATTGAAAAAGTAAGCAGTTAAGCATGACATCTCTTCTCCCACTCACATCACTATGAACTGCAAAAATATGAATATTTTCCTCTCTTTTTTTTTAGTTTACTATGTATAGAGTATCCATACCAAAAATATATAATGATCTGAATAGCTAGGAAACTCTATATACTTTCCAACAATTACGTTCAGACAGTAAAACAGAGAAAAAAGTGCCTAATAGAACTGGTCAAAAGCCTATTACTGCAAAAGTTAGAATTCTTAATGGTGTAATGGTTAAGGTAGTAGAATACTGAGATTTGTTTATATATGTCAAGAGGGGTGGGAATAAGATAGAGGCTGGGTTTGGGCAATAAAACAGTTTACCACTGTCTTCTTGCTACCTATTTCAACTCCATAATAATTTGACATTTCCAGATTTCTGAGATTACAGGCAGCTTTCCCTTGAGCATCCTCCAGAAGCAGTTGGAACAAGTTAAACCAGCTGAGCTACTTACACTTGTCTAAAGCAATGTTCCTAACTAATGTGAGAACAAATGAGAAAAAAGAAATCAGAAAATGATGGAAGAGAACAGAAAAGGGGACAGCTCTTGTTTTATACATGAAGATTATTTTTGTATAGAAATCAGAATTGACAAAACAAAATGTTAAAATATCAAGTGTGACATCATAGTATGGTGATATAATAATGACCCAAGTAAACAAAATTATCATGCAGGGTTTGCATAGTTTATATAGTCACTGATCATTACAAATAGTATGTAGAGTTCCTACATGTGTTGTAGAAACAAAAATAAATCCACAATGTTGATTATTTTGCATATTATTTTCCAGTCAGTATTTAAATGGAAATGCTCTATTTGGAAATACTGTTTCTTCTGAGACATGAAGCCTATTCTTAGTGCATATTAAAATAATATATAGATAGATAGATAATGACTAATCACTAAGTTTAATAGTGTAGTTTCAATCAATCACAAGCACAGAACCAATGCTCTATAAAGGTTTAAGAACACATAAAATCCATCAGAATACCATCAGTGCTAAGTGATTTGTCCAGTGAGAAATTTGAACTTATCTAAAGGACTTAAGCATTAATAAGAATTTTAAAATAAAATCAGACCTGATTTTCAGTATTTTATACATGCAAGATCTCATAGGAAAGCCTCATTCCAGTAGTAAAGATGATTCGAGGTGGTATTGGACTTATTTGCAGAATTCTTGTCACTTACAACTCTGTGAATGAAGACATTGATGTATGATCAAGAAATGAGGGGCCAGAAGTTGAATCTGATGAGGTGTTTTATCCCTAACTGAGCCAGTGTTTTTTTTTAAAATTTATTATCATTCCTTAAGTTAATATTCCATTAGTATTTTCAAATTCTCCACTTTACATGAAAGTCTTCAGATATTACTCACACCAAATAGACTTCATTTAAAAATGTATTTGTTATGAAGTAAACTAGCTTTCAAAAAATTATCAAATATTAATATTCTTAGCATGTTGATATTTTAAGCTGATACAAAGACTTTACAAAACTGAAAAAAAATCATTTTTCCCAAGTTGTCTGAGTCACAAAATTATCAGATTTAATAAAGTAGTAAATAGTAAATATTTAACCTTATTTACTCAACTTAAGGAGGTAAAAACCCAGCACATTTTATAAAAAGAAAAATTAGCTCTAAAACTATAGGTAAACTCTAGTGAATGCACAAATCAAATAACTTCATGATGCTAATGATACCCAAAGTTGCAACCATTTTGGTAAAATATCTTACTTAACTGAATAATAGGCAAACTTATATTTAGGTCTCTTATATATGGAAAAAACCTTGTCATACTTGAGAATTGCAAATTAAACTTCCTCTTCTTTAAAATAATAATCTTACATTATATTAAATGTCGCCACATATTAGATTATATGCAAGGCTCTTAAAATTCAAATTGAAATCCATATAATCCATATAATTGAAAACATTTAGGAATACATTTCTGTATCTCTGAGTTCATATTTGTCAACATAATTAAAGAGCACTTACAATTATTTTGTTTTATGTATTCTTTTTGTGACTTTGACTTAACCAACTTTATAAGAAATTGACTCCATCAACCAAAAGTTTAAAAGGTTGCTTCTGTCTCTAATTTGTTACTGAGAGGTAACTAAATTTTATCAACATATTCATTATCATTTTCCTGTTCCTCCTGTATTTTTTCAGTAATGTATTCTGATATCATGCGAATTTAAATGCAAATCTTTTCATATCCTAAATACGTGCCCAAACTACAAATGAGCTAGTGCAGAATGAATCAATTCTCAAGAAATGTAAAACTCAGTTTTATGAGTGTGAAGGTTTCCTATAAAGGTTGAAAGTAGAGAACTCTATTTAAAAAAAGTATAAAAATAGAAATAAACAAGAAATAAATGTTGACTTGCTTACTAAGGATAAACAATCCCACACTGAATCAACAAAACAGGACAGATAAATGCAAAGAGGCTCGGCAACAGTTTAATGGTAAGACTTTGATCAAGGCAAAAGTGAACACAAAGTAGAATAAAAAAGGAAGTTGGGATAGAGAATAACAGTGTTTCATGGGGGTGGGGGGAGAAAATGTAGCTGTCCAGTAACACCTTTTGTCCACCTCATAACTCTTGGAATATAGATTCAAGTCCCTGGGATCCTAGATATCATGTAAAGGCGGTTTCTAACCCAGTATATGAGATTCACTTGAACGGTGCTCAAAGCAATTTCCCCTCACATCAGGTAACTGGAAGACTGATGTGATCTGACAGAAGATGACAGAAGAATATTATAGTCTCAGAAACATGAGAACCAGTCCACCTGGAAATTTACCAAAATGCATATATGTTCAGTTTGTGATTATAACCCTGAAAACTTGCAAAAAGAAAAGTGATACATATGAGCCAATAGAAATTAATGAGCAAACTAAGTAAGAATAAAACTTGGGTAATAAAAACTCAGCTGGCATCCTCAGCCAAAATTTCCAACGTGAAACGTTCCAGACTTCGTGACTACCAGAGCACGAGGGAGTAGGGGGGAACGGGTGCAAACTGGGAAATGCTTGGGTGCCCCATGGGGCCTTACTGTACCTGTGTCCACCTCCTTCACCTGTTGCCTGGCTGGAGGTGGCCGGCTCCACTTTGAGCTCTTGCAGGACCAGCCCTTTCTCGTGGGGTCCAGGAAAGTCCATGCCTGGTACCTCCTCCTCCTCTAGGGACTCCACGTAGAAGAGGGTCCTGGTTGGCTGTTGGGTGCCCTGCCCGGGCGCCCCTTGCTGCAGCCTCGTGGGGACCGGCAGCAGGGTGCCATTGAGTGGGTTGAAGGAAGAGGAGGACGGGGAGGAAGACGAAGACGAGGAGGAAGAAGAGGAAGGTTTCTTCCAGAAAGTGCCCCCGCTGCCCTTGTCTTGGCCTTTGAGCAGGCGGCTCTGGCTGGGCCCCCAGTGCTCGAAGCTGCCGCCGCCGTCCTGTTGCAGGCAGCCGCCCCCCGCCGGGCCGCCAGGGGACGGCGACGGGTGGCTGAAGAGTTTCCAGCGGAGTCGCAGGATGTGCTTCACATCAAAGTCTTTTCGCCCAGAGCCTGACATGCTTGACCCGGGAAGGCAAAGAGACCTCGGCTCTCGCAGCAGGAGGAGGGCCAGCTGGAGGGGGTGGCCCGCGGAGCCGCGCTGGAGGAGGCGGCGGGATGTGCCCTCCGCACCCGGGGCACTCGGGGCGAGGCGGGCGGGCTGCGCGCCCTGCCTGGCAACGAGCGGCGCGCGGACCGCAGAGCCGCGCGGCTCAGCTGCGGTCGGGTCCGCAGGACCTGCGGGTGGGGAGCCCACCGGCCGCGAGGGGAGGCAGGAGCGGGACGCTGCGGGCGGAGAATCCTCGGTCCCGGTGCGGGGGCCCCGTGGTGACGGCGGGGAGGCACGACCCTGCTGGTGGAGATGCGCCAGGGAGCGAGGTCTGCGCGCTCCGAGGCTCGGGAGGCGGCGGCGGCGGCTTACACCTCCTTGGGATGTGCCCGTGGCGGAGCCTTTGTCGGGAAGGGGTCCGCTCTCCTGTCCTTGCAGCCCAAGAGTTCAGTCCTGGAGAGCGCAGAGGAAGAGCCCCAGGTCGCGAAGAGGCGCACACCGCAGCCTCCTCGGTGCACCTGCGCCCCTGCCCCTGGCCTCTCGGAGGATGCCCTGAGAGCTTGCCGGGTTCTCTCTGAGAAAGTCAGACGCCTTCTGCAAGGCGAGAAGGAGTGGTTTTATATAGTCAGTTTGTAAAAGAGAAAAATAAATATTCCCGAAAATAGAGGGAGGCAAAAGGAAAAGCCCGCCCGTGAAGCTGTCAAGGTCCTCACAGTACAATTTTCTCTCTGCCTCAGCACCTCCTCCTCCCCCGTCAGTGACGCAGATGTGCACTGGGGCCTATACGGAGACATGGAGGGAGGGAGGCAAGGCTTCAATCTTCTTTATGCAAGTGAGTCTGCCGCTCTGATTGTCCCCTAGCGTGGGTCCTGTCGCCTTTTTTCATCCTCCTTCCTCACTACACTACAATGTAGCAATAAAAGTAAAGCAAACAGGCGTTATGCTTTAGCATCAGTAAACACCAAGCATGAATCATGGCAGCGGAAACTTAATAGGCTGCCATCGGTTTGCAGGTTGCAGGTTAATGGCTTGAATTATTTAATAAACAGCATCCTTTAACCTTTAGCCTTAGTTTCTCTGTAGTCAGACACACAGAAAACAGAGGTGCTGGTGTCAAAGTCTGGTGATGCCACCATTCTGACACTTAGATGGCGATTCTGCTATTAACGCACTCAAGCAGTGCTTCACCCTGGGGACTAGAGGCGCACGGTAAAAATTTGAAGATGGGCATCTGAGCGCAGGGGATGGGTTTTGCAAAATCAGTGCATTTTGGTGTGTAGCCTTAGACTGAAAGCTGTTCTTAATATACATCAAGAAGTGGAATAAAATGATACAGGAGAATTTCGAGGCATAACCTTCCGGTACATAAATCATGATACAAAATGCATGCAAGAGTTTAGGCAATAAATGAATATACCCGAAGGCTACTATCCTGCAAAAATCTGTGTGAAGGGAAGGTGTGTTTTCCCTTATATCTATACTTAGAATAATGAGGATTATGATCCCTTTCTAGCTACAACTACTTGGGGATTTTTCATCTTTCCCTTTAATGAGCCATTAAAATATAACTCAATCACCTTTCCCAAAAGCAAAAGGGGGTCAGCAAGCAGCAGGCTCCGTAACTCAACCAAGAATATGGTGGTTGTCCATTCATGAAATTCACAGTTTCAGAACCCCCAAAAGGGCACAGTATCTAACATTCAAGTGCTGTTGTATTACTGTTTTGTTACCCTGTTTTTGAGCATAAACTTAAATGGAAACCAAAGCCCAATTTGAGGTCCTTCTTAGAGTTGGACATTTTAATAAAACAAGAAATTAAGCATACATAACCTCTACTTTCAGGGGAAGAAAAATCACTATTGCATATTTTAAAATATTGATTTATGCCACAATAGCTGGACTACAATTCCCTGTGCCTCGATTTTTTTTTCAATGCTCAGTGTCCAAAAAAAAAAAAGAGAAAGTCCCTTTAAAGTAAACAATGGTGACAGCTCATTTTTATCCAAGCACTGAATCAAGTATTTCCCTTAGGGAAGAAAACTGTGTATGAAATTAAGTATCACAAACAGGACAGAGAAAACTTTCCATCAGAGGTTATGTAGGAATTTGAAGTGCATATAACTAAATGATTTCTATAGAAATTGGGTGCTCTGTGGATTTTCTAACTTGATGTAATTTTAACTTAATTAAAATAACATAAAGTAACAATGCAAGTCAGTTATATGTATATTTTCTTTATTAATTAACATCTATAACCACT